ATGATGAGGCACGACCACAAACTAGAAGCCAGTCCACAGCTGCATCATTAGCCACTTTAAACCCCTCCAATCCATACATGAAGCAAACTGACACCCACCATAAAGATGTGGCACGACCACGAACACGAAGCCAAACAACAGCAATGAAGCTCACCATCTCAAATCCCCCTGCAACTCAGACTAACCTGAGCACAACAAAACCCCACCTAAACAGAACACTCCCCCATCCAATCAGAGCACAGCCAACCCCCCATCCAATCAGAGCACAGCCAAGCTCCTTAACCAATCAGAACACACCTCCACCCAATCAGAACATAGCCAAGCTCCCACCCAATCAGCTCAAACCCACTGGCAGTTAAAAGGAAGAAACAGCAGTGATCACACACACTACTCCCAGAAGCACGAAGCTGATGACACCAGCCTGAAGATGACGAATGTGACTTCGTCGAAACGTCGCCAAGAAACTTCTAATTCTACGCGGGAGAAAACCCGAATAACTAAAGACCTACATACAAACACCCGCGAAAACCTCAGAAAACATATATATATATATAGTATATATATATAGTATATAAATATATCAAGATAACAGTTTGAAAGGAAAACATTTTTAAAACTTTTCTTTAAAATACATTGCAAAGATAAAGTATAGATCAAAATTACCTGGAATCAAAAGACTTGCTGGTGCCAAGAACTGATTTCTGATGAGGAGGTCCACCAAATCACTAACAGTACAATTTAATGTTCCCCAATCATAAAGTAATTCACAGGTTGGACTTTTTCCTACTTGTTTTAATGCTTCAAATCGCCTTTAAGATATATACATATGTTAGTTAGATAAAAGAATTAACTATTATTTATCAAAAGAAGTGTGACATATTATAACCATTTTAGTTGCACTTTTGCTATAAGGTCTTTAGTCCAAGCCTGAACAGCTATTCAATATTCTGCCAGCTATAAAGTACTAGGATACATGAACCTACTGACTTAAATAATTTATATAACAGTTGAGCCCAGTAGCAACGAGAAAATAAATGGTATAAAACAAAATAAATTGAATTGAACTGGAGAGAAAGTTAATTTTCAAGATTGCTTTCACAAACTGAGTGATATATAAAACAAATATAACAAAAAATCAGATATTACAAGAAAGGCTCAGCATCAAGGTGCCATTCTTAAAAATAAAGTTGCCATCCCTGTTAGACAATCCCAAACTGTAGACACCTAAGTCTTATTTTGGATAGTCAATCTTTCAATGAAAAACTACAGGCAATACAATATCAACATGATCCAATATATACAGCTTCTCACCACATACAGCTTCTTAGCACATCTCTAGTCCAAGTGGGGAAAAACTCAGACAGGGTCCATCTCAAAGACTGACTTTTATTCCCTCACCTTAGCAATGTCTCAACAACAGCTGTTCTAACATTTTTTTTGGTCCCTCACTCCAACTACCAATCACTCATTGGAAAGTAGCATGCTTGAGCATACACTAGTTTTACTATTGCCTTCATTTTCAATGACCAAATTATTGAGCAAGTTGCAAGCTAACTCTAGCTAGAATCAAGGGGTTAGGTGGCTATATAAATTTATTTAAAAAAATAAATAACTCTGTAACAATGCTTCCCCTTTGGTTTTCATACCTTACCTTATTTGCATTTGGTTGTATTGTTTTGCACCAGATGAATCAGTTATATCAGCAGCTAATTTCTTCCATCCTTCTTGTGGATCAATGAAATCTGCCAGTTGTCTCATCATTCCATAGCCAAGGGAACGTACATAGGTAGAAGGTGTTATGGAATTGGTCATTTCTGATTCCTAACAAATGCAAATGAAGTTGTTATTAAGCACTTTTTTTATAATCCAAGATTATACACCATCCCCAAGGTTGTAATGCATATTTCATTTGTACTTTATTTTTACAAGTTTTATCATAGTACTGGTTACAATGCAGTATTTGATTACTATGTCTTGAATTATTTTGGAAGCTTCTTTTAAAAAGTTCAATCATCCATCACACATATTCTCCTACCAAATAAATATGAACCAATCCCTTTAAAGGATAACAAATACAGGTAGTCCTCAACTTATAACCACAATTGAGCCCAAAATTTATGTTGCTAAGTGAGACATTTGTTAAGTGAGTTTTGCCCCATTTTACAACCTTTCTTGCCACATTTATTAAGTGAATCATTGCAGTTGTTAAGTTAGTAATACGGATGTTAAGTGAATCTGGCTTCCCCATTGACTTTGCTTATCAGGGGTTTGCAAAAGCTGATCACATGATCCTGGGACAGTGCAACTGTCATAAATATGAACCAGTTACCAAGCATGTGAATTTTGATTAAGGGACCATGGGGACGCTGCAACGGTCAAAACTGAAAAACGATCATAAGTCACTTTTTTTGGTGCTGTTGTAACTTTGAACAGTCACTAAATGAACTGTTGTAAGTTGAGGACTACCTGCACAAAGCAATTTATTATCTTATTACTTTAATGTACATTCCTCAACTACACATTTATATTCATCCATAGCATTTACTTCGAAAACTTAACATGATACACTATAGCAAAACTGTTTAATGGGCAGAGCTATCATAAAAAGTGAAATGCATGTAACTTACTAATTTACAACATCCCCCCAAAAAACAACAGATTCCTGTGCATCAGAGCAGGTTTGTGTGGGGAAGGCAAAGGAGAGAACTTATTTTAAAGAGAAAGAGGGGCTTTAGGAAATTTCTTATAAGCCTGTCTTAATGCAATGAGTATTATTGCGGTGGGGGGGGAAGTGCAAAAAATAAAAGAGATCATTTCCCAGGGTTTACATCCATAGATTCTCAATATTATTTACTTAATTTTTATGCTATTTTTCATGTTATGCCAAACTGTAAAGAAAATGCAGTTTTAAAAATATCTGAATCAGAATCAGTATATAGCTGGAAGGGACCTACAAGGTCTTTCAGTCCAACCTCCTGCTCAAGCAGGAGACCCTATACCAGGGGTGTCAAACTCGATTTCGTTGAGGGCCACAGGGTTGTGGTTGACCTTGGGGGGCCGGCGTGGGCATGGCCGGCGTGGGCATAGTGGGGGTGGGCGTAGTCAGCTCAACGTCGCTCGTGTCATGTCTGTGGAGGCATTGGCAGGGCTGGGGGGATCCGGTTTTTGCAAATTTTATTAATTTTCAAATAAATATGTGAACAAATAATACAAATGTGGTGCATTTCATTAAAAAACAAAAAGGAAAACCTAGTCAATATATTTTCAGAAATGATCGGCGGTCCCCCCCCCTTGCATCCACCCTCACTCCTTCAACCTTCCTACCTTCCCTCTTCCTTCCTCCCCTCCTACCCACACCTCTCTCCTCCTTCCTCCTTTCCAACTATCCTACACATCCCCTCACCTTCTTTTCCACATCCTTCGGATGCAGTTTAGGGGTACTAGCCAATCATCTCCTCTTCTCAAAAAAGGAAAAACCATTACATTATTTTTCTATAACATATAAATACACCAAATTTTATATAATTCTACCCTTTCATCCCCTTCCCCCCTCCCCCCCCGGACTTCCCAGAACTGAGTACAAGGATAATCACATAACATCCCAAATCTAAATAAAACTACCCAAACATAATACAAACAAATATTAACATACTTTAACTCTAATATACAATAATAAACTTAAATATAATATATATATATAAATTATATTAAGTATATAGAAATAATAAAAAAGAAAAAAGTTTAATCAAAAGCTATATGATAATTATTCATTTCATACTTTCTCTGAATATAATCTATCCATCTTCTCCATACCAAAATGAATTTTTCTTGAAATTGATCCTTCAAATATGCGGAAATTTTAGCCATTTGTGCAAAATATGACACCTTCAATCTCCAATCATCCATAGTCGGTAATGCCTCCTTCTTCCAATTTTGAGCAACCAGTAACCTTGCTGCTGTTATACAATACAGCATCAAATTCATTTCTTTAAGGTCCAAATTTTCCATAATGCCCAATAAAAATAGTTGCGGTGTAAATTTTATCTTTTTCTTAAAAATCTGTTGGATATTCCACCAAATCTTAATCCAGAAAGCCTTTACATCCCTACATGTCCACCAAATATGATAATAAGTTGCATCTAAGTTACCACATCCCCAACATTTTGGCTGCAAGTTTGGATACATGCAAGACAGTTTTTGGGGGTCTAAATGCCATCTGTAAAACATTTTATAAAAGTTTTCCCTTAAATTCTGTGCTTGGGTGAACTTGACATTTCTTACCCAAATTACCTCCCATGTATCTAACATGATTGGTTCTTGAATATTTTGAGCCCATTTAATCATAGTCTTTAACTAGTTCTGTTTCCAAATCCAGTTCTATTAAAACACTATAAATTCTCCTAATATGAGATCTACTTTGATCTTTAATCTGCTTTATCAAGTTCAGATCTTCCAAAATTAACCCAAGCTTTTGATCTATACGCCACCTCTCAACCAACTGACAATATAAAAACCAGGACTGGAGAATATTATCTTGTTTCAAGTCATCCAATAATTTTAATTGCCAGTCCGGTCCCCTTGAAATAAGTAAATCCTTATAAACAATCCCCTCCAATTTAACTCCCCTTGTAATTCCTTGTATTGCATGTTCCGGAATAGCCCAGATTGGGATTTTAAAACTTAATTTATAATGATACTTCTTCCAAACTCTCAAAAGTGCAATTCTTACAATATGAGACTTAAAAACTTGATCAACCTTCTTATCAAAAAATAGATAGGCATGCCATCCATAAAATAAATCCCAACCTTCAAGAATCAATATATCTCTATTAGTTAAATTAATCCAATCGCTAATCCAAGTTAAAACCACGGCATCATAGTATAATTTTAAATTTGGGGCATCTTGCATAATTTTAAATTTAACCCTCGGCTTTTTACCCTGCCAGATAAATCTATTGATACCTCTTTGCCATTCATCCAAATTTGAATCCTTTTTTAAAATAGGTATCATTTGAAACAAAAAAAGAAATTTAGGAAGAATGTTCATTTTAACTGCTGAGATTATCCCTAGCAAAGATAACTGTAACTTTTTCCATTCCTCTAAATCCTTTAGAGTTTTTATCCATAACTTATCATAATTATTTTTATACAATTTAACATTAGAGGCTGTAATATAAACACCCAAATATTTCACCTTTTTCACTATTTCAAAACCAGTTAAATTAGTTAAAGTCTCTTTATTTTTCGTAGACATGTTTTTAGATAATATTTTAGTCTTATTATTGTTTACTTTAAATCCAGAAACTTTCCCATACTGAATCAAAATCTGTGTCAAGTTTCTTACTGAGTCAATCGGTTGAGATAAAGTGAAAACCAAATCATCAGCAAAAGCTCTCAACTTATAATCATTCTTGTCCAAGGTTATTCCTTTTATAACCGATGATTCCTGAATCTTAATTAGTAAAATCTCCAAAGTCAAAACAAATAATAAAGGTGATAATGGGCATCCTGGCCTCGTACCTTTCTCAATTTTAAATAAATCCGTCAATCCTCCATTTACTACTACTTGTGCTGATTGTAGATGGTAAATAGCCTTAAGAGCTGATAGGAATCTATCCTCGAAATTCATTCTCTCCAGCACTCGGAATAAAAATTGCCAATCCAATTTGTCAAACGCCTTTTCAGCATCCAGAAAGATAAAAGCCGCTGGAATTTGATTGTTTTTGTCCAAATATTCAAGCAAGTTCACAATTTGTCTAACATTGTTCTTCATGTATCTACCAGTTATAAATCCAGACTGATCCGCATGAATAATCCGTTTCAATACTTGCATTAATCTATTAGCTAAAATTTTTGCAAAAATCTTATAATCCGTATTCAATAAAGATATTGGCCTATAGTTTTTAGGCTGAGTCAAGTCTTGATCCTCCTTCGGTATGAGTGATATAAATGCACATCTCCACAATGGTGGTACTTCTGCTCTGGACAAAATACTATTAAAAAGAGATCTCAAGGGTTCTAGCATTTCTTCCGATAACATTTTATAATATATTGCAGTTAACCCATCTGTACCAGGTGCTTTACCAACCTTTAATTGTTTAATTGCCTCTGTAATCTCATCCAACACAATCGGACAGTTCATCATTCCTTGTTGTTCATCTGAAAGTCTAAGAAAATTCGCTTGCTGCAAGTATCTATCTATTTCAAAAGATTGTATATTCTCAGAGGTATATAATTTTGAAAAATATTCCACAAAAGCCTTTTTGATCAAATCTTGTTGAAAAACTTCTTTGCCTTTATAATTTATTTTCTCTATAACTCTTTGTTTTTGTTTCTTTCGTAATTGATAAGCCAACCACCTTCCAAGTTTATTTACATTGCAAAATGTATTATGTTTCATATATCTCAAGTTAATTGCAATCTGATCAGCCATCAACATATTAAATTGTTCCTTCAGCATTGCAATAGATACCTTTAAATTATTATCCATTGGACTTAAAGAAAAAGCTTTTTCTTTTATTTTTATCTCCTGCTCCAAGTCTCTACGTTTTTGTAACTGCTTTCGCCTATAAACAGTATTCATTGAAATTAGAGCACCTCTCATAAATGCCTTGCTAGCATCCCACACCATTGACATAGAGGTGCCCTTATTCATATTCAGCATAAAAAAGTCTTTTAAATGATCTTTAAGTATCTGCACGTTAGACTCATATTTTAATAAATTCTCATTTAATCTCCAAGTCCTTCTATTTCCTCCTTCAATTGAAAGTTCCATCCCTACAGGGCTATGATCTGATAAAATCCTAGGAAAAATCTTCACT